TAAATGATTCTCAAATATCTTTGCAACAGATGATAGAAAAATTTAACATTTAATGTTTTTTGAGTTAGCATTATACTTCGAAAGAAATCTAAAATTATTTTTCAATTAAAACTCAAGAATGTGTATAGAAATATATTATGCAATATCTATTACTTATCTCCCATTGTTTTCCAAATCTCTAATAGCCAAATTTAATGTTTGCTTTAAGACCAAGAACAGGAATTCCTGAATAAAAAATGAATCCTGAAGGAAAATCTCACAAAAAGTGTCCTTGGAATCTAATTCGAAGGGGTAAAACATCCACTATCAAAAATAAAAGTACAAAAGACATAAATTATATGTAAAAAAGAAAACTACTAATTTGTATATGTCATTCTAAATAAATGCTAAATAAAACAATCCTGATATAGGAGGTCACCTTTGTTGTTAAGCCATAGAGTACAAAGGAGCAGAGTCTCTGTATTCTAACGGTAGTCATGAAACAAAATATAGAGTCTTGATTAGGGGAAATCCTCAATTTTTCAAGCTCATGCATAAACTTCTGTGCAAATGCATTAGCTGTCCTTAACACTTCCAACCTTCTGGAAGTAGCTGAAGGTGAAGGGAAAGGTAGAGAAAAAGGCAAAAGAAAATTGACCAGTTTTGACCTCTGAAGATCATTAATTACTAATATCTTTTCTTTATACAACACTCAATGGGACCATCACAATCTGGTTCCAGAGACACTGACTAAGATTATATAGGTTTTGTACTGCACAGTCCAGAGGGTAACAATATGAATGATTGCTGAATACAGCATCCCTGTTTGGTCCTAACTCTCCTTCCCAATTTTATTTTTAACCCTGCTTCTTAGGTTGTAGGTTGATAATGAACCTACACCATGCTATTTAGTCATCCCAAGAACATGCCCTGAATGTTCAGGCCTTTAAGCCATCTCTTACCTGACTTCCTTTTAACAGAATAATTTTTCTTGATCCAATTAACCTTTCAAAAATAGTACTAGCTATTTGGGTCAAAATTTGCTGTTATTACGGAATGCAGCAAATCATCTTTTTTCACCATTTTTGGAAAATTATTGAAAAAAATACCCATAATTTCTTTAAATAGTGATTCTCTTCTAATTATCACTATTAAACTCTAATTAGATTAAATTGTATGTTATAATTTCTCATTCTGTTCTCCATACCTTTGTGATATATTCTGAGTCATTTTCTTAGCGTTATCATATGGTGAATGTATTTACTCTTCTGCCAGGTCTAATCTCTTGTTTATCTTATTCTTTCATTTCATTTCTTTAATTTGTTATGAAATATTTCAAACACAGGTGAAAATAGAATAGTATAATAGAATCCCATGTATGCATCATTCTAAGTCAACAATTACTGATTATGGTAGGTCTTGTTTCATTTATTCCACTCCCACTCCTGTATTATTTTGAAGCAAATCCCAGACAAATACTTACAACTAAATATTTAAATAACAATAAATCTAATTTTTAATGTAACCACAGTACCATTTTCATATTTAAAAGAGACAGTAGGGCTTCCCTGGTGGTGCAGTGGTTAAGAATCCGCCTGCCAATGCAGGGGACACGGGTTCGAGCCCTGGTGGGGGAAGATCCCACATGCCGCGGAGCAACTAAGCCCGTGTGCCACAACTACTGAGCCTGCTCTCTAGAGCCTGCGAGCCACAACTACTGAGCCCACGTGCTGCAACCACCGAAGCCCATGCACCTAGAGCCCGAGCTCCGCAACAAAAGAAGCCACCGCAATGAAAAGCCCGAGCACCGCAAAGAAGAGTAGCCCCCACTCACCACAACTAGAGAAAGCCGCGCGCAGCAACAAACACCCAACACAGCCAAAAAGGAAAAAAAAAAAAAGACAATAATTACTTAAAATCATTAAGTAGCCACAGTGCACATTCACAATTGTCTCTTACACATGTTAATTTTTAAACAGACCATTGCTTGAATTAGAACCCCCCAAAATTGTGTCTAGTTAATAAGTCCCTTAAATCTACTTTCATCTTTTGGATCCCTTCCCTCCTCCATCTCTTGTTTTTCTTCAAATCTTTGTAAATTATTTATTGAAGAAACTAGGTTATTTATTCTGCTGTTTTCTACAGTCTGTAGACTGCTGTTTGCTTCCCTATAATGTTTCTGAAGTCATTTCTTTGTCTTCTATATTTCCTGGAAATTGGCAGGTAGAACTAGAGGCAAGAAATTTTTTTTTCTTCTCAATTCTGTTATATAGGTAGTGTTGAGTTCTTCCATCAGGGAGCATATAATGACTCACTGTTTTTCCTTTTGTGATGCTAGCAGAAACTGACAATCATTGTCTAGAGCCATCATTCCATTAGGGTTTGCAAAATAGAGACATTCTAATACTACCACTCCTTCTCCATTTATTAGCTGGAATAATTCTATAAAGAGAAAATTCCACGTTTTCCTTCGTCTCCATGTCTGCAAGCAACTATTTGTTGTAATATCCTTTTATGCTCAGTTAATAGCTATGAAGCAATCAAAAACTCATTCTAAATTTCATATGCTCCCCCCTACTGTCCCTGAATTGCTTGATACTTTGCTGTATCTATATTGTCAGACTGCATAACTATAACACATGGCACTCTTTTTTTTTGTAACCATCATCACACTTTAATTCTAAAGTTATGTTCACACCAATTCTTATGATGTTACCTCTCCAGTCATTTTGATTGTTTGAAGAATTTCATCCAGTAGCTTCCTCAGGAAGTACTCATGAGAACAATATTCCCTAATTTTTTACACACTTATAATAGTTTATTTTTAGCCTTTATATGTGAAAATCTGTTCAAATGACTAAGTGCTTGCCAATTTCCTTTTCTTACAAGCCAAGCTATGTTAGATAGATTATATCTCCTAATATAGTATCTCTTTATGACACTTCCTAAAGAAATTGTTATGATGGAATCTCAATGTAGATTACATATATTTATAAGGTTTATGTAATAAATATTTGGTGTATATGCTATGTATGCTATTATAAATTCCTATATAAATATCTACATAAATGTTGACATGTTGACTTTCAAATTATTTTGTAGACTGTACTGCAAGATCCAGGAATCAAAGAAATACTAGTTATTAGAAGGCACAATATTTTCTCCACTTAACCTTTGGCTTTCTATAACCTTCTTGAAAAATTGCCTCTCTTCTGGCTTTGTGTTATAATTTGTTATAAATATTTCTATGTTTCTTACTGGTATGTGATCTCTTTGAGGGACAAAGACTGTATTTTCCTTCCTTTTTCCACCGTAGCCCAACACAGTGCCTAGAACATAAATGGGACTAACTTGTATTTGTTTAATTAGAATACGATCTGAATTTCAAAATACATGTGTGGTATTTTTTTCAAGTACGTGTTGGATAAATTATAGTCCCAAAGTGATGATTTTATTTACTAGTGTAACTTTGAGAATCTTTCAGAAGTCTAGCAAATTGCATCCTGTATTGATGAGAATCATCGAGCAAAAGCAAAGTCACGGACCAGGAACAAATGTGATGTGTCCTAGAACTCCAAGTAACCAAGTGAAACTGGACTAAAGGATGTGGAAATGAGTGCAGGAATAAAAGAGGTGCCAGATTATGAAAATTTTCATAGAATTTCCTTAAGGAGTTTGCTTTTATCTTGTAAGCAATGGGAATTTTTCATGAAGAGTTTTTTTTTTTTTTTTTTTGCGGTACACGGGCCTCTCAGTGCTGTCGCCTCTCCCATTGTGGAGCACAGGCTCCGGACGCGCAGGCTCAGCGGCCATGGCTCACGGGCCCAGCTGCTCCGCGGCATGTGGGATCTTCCCGGAACGGGGCACGAACCCTTGTGCCCTGCATCGGCAGGCGGACTCTCAACCACTGCGCCACCAGGGAAGCCCTCATGAAAAGATTTTTGTGTTAGATGATTCCCCTGGTAGCAGAGTAAAGGATGCATTCACCAATAAAGGGGTGAGGATGGTGGTGGAAATGGAGATGGGGAAAGACTGGAGAAAGAAAACATGTCAAAAAGATGATTTAGGCCAGAATTAGGAACGCCTTAATGTAAAAGGATATTCTGGAGATATTAAACATATAAAACAAGTAGGATTTAGAGAATTTAGTGAATAATGGAACGTTTAAAGTAAGCAAATGGAATCCTGGTGAGCAAAAGGGATCCTAGTAAATTCCCCAAATTCCAGACTTTGGGGAATTGGGTGATCTTTTGTGTCACTGCTGCTGTGAAATGTACAGCATGAGGAACAGATACTGAGGGGGTAGAAAATGAATTAAGTTTGGAATGACTGCTTTAAAGTACTGACACTTACTCAATGATTAAAGAGAGATTTAATTATTCTAATTCTGTTATAATAGTTAACAGTTTACAAAGTACTCATTTGATTTTTATAGAGGTAAGTAATTATCCCCATTTTCCAGATAAATAAGCTGAGGATCACAGAGAATAAGATTCTTATACAAGTCACATGGCTAGAAATGCTTAGAAATTTGACTTAAACATATGTGTCCTGACTCCAGGTCCTGCGAGCTCTTCACTGCCTTCTTGGTATAGGAGAGGGGACTTATTCACATCATTTGGAATGCTGTGTAACAAGGGTAAAAATAAAATGGTATTGTGGTTACCTTTATTAAAGAGAAAATGCAACTGACCAGAACATTTATCTCATAGGACACACTTTTCCCCTTGCTTCCCAAATGCTGTTATGTCTTGTAAGAGCTACTTTATATTTACATGCAACAGAATCTCCTTCAGAAAACATTTTGACAAAAATACTTGTGCGTACTGTAGCAGTTATTTTGCTTCCTAAACATTATTTCTAAAATTATGCCATTAAACTCAGAAATTAGCTAAGACACTTTTAAATCTGTTTACCTACAAGGTTTTCATTGTATTTTTTTAATGTGGACTTCTCTGTTTCTGAACCCAGAGTAGAAGAATTAGAAAATGAAAATGTTCCTTCTCTAAGAGTTCACTTACCTCTGTTTACCTTTATGATCTACAGAGCCAGCTGAGAGTCTGTCCAGGGGAGAACCAAAACCAGAGAAGCTTCTTTTCTTCTTTGTTTCAATCACATCATTCTCCAGAGACACAAGTTCATCAAGAAGTAAGAGTTTTGCTGCCAGATCAGTGGCTGATTTCTCTTCCTTGACTGTGGGAGGTGACTGAACATCTAAGACTCTAGAATCAAAGGCCTATAGGGCAGGAAAGGTGATTCCATTCATTAACAAGAAGAAAATACATACAATCATCTGCAATTGGCTTTTGCTATTTTTAGCTGACATGCCTGTCATGAACCTTGATTTCTCATGAGTTATGATCCAGAGAGAAAGACTTTTGGGGACAAAAACACATAGAGATGAGTTTTATCCAAAAGAAATGAAAGGGAAACTAAACACACACACACACATACACGCTCACACAAAGAAAAAAGAAAGGGTAAACTCCTCTAAAGGAGGCCTGCCTCTAACATTTAGTATAACTGATTATTCTTTCAGATTCTTTCGCAGTAACAACTGCATCCTTCCTTATTACTCCAAAAGCACTTTATCTATACTTCTTTCATCACTGCCATCATTACATTTTCCCTTGTATTAGATTAGCTACAATATATTTGTATTGCCTATTAGATTGTGAGTAACTTGAGGGCAAAGACTGTCTAATTAGTCTTTTATCTGCTCTACTCAATGCCTATCCCAGTATTTTGCTCATAGTTAGTACTCAGTAAATTTCTGCTGAATATTTATTGAATGAATTCTGAAAAAATCTAAACCTCACGTTATTTTCTTTTCACCACTCATTCATTCCTTACTGACTCAAGGCTCTAAACATCCACTGTGCAGGTCCTGCGTTAGACCCAAGAGATACAAAAATGAGTAAAATCCAGTCTGTGCCCTGAAGGAGCTTACCATCTCCACCCATGTGATTTACTAACAAATATTAATGAGTGTCTATGATGAGTCAGAGCTATCCCAAGGACTTTATTGTCCCATGTCAGATTTCTTGTTTATTTGTTTGTTTACACATATTGCCACTTGGCATGTCATCCAAACCATAAAAGTATAAGCTTCCAGTTTGTGAAGTCTGTCTTCCTTTCTCAGGCGCAATCACGGCATTTCAGAAAATGCTCCTGCTAACAATCTGGAGTCATTTTGTTGTGCAGGGGATGCTGCTTCTTTCCCAGGAGCCTGAGACTATTCCCCTGTGGGAAGAAGGGTTAATAACTACAGGGGTCTCTTCCCTTTCCTCCTTTAGTCACATTCTTGCCAGACTCTTGGTCTGGGAAAGACTCTTTTTCTTCACTTCCTGTCTTTATTTTTGAGTTACTTCTCTTATTCTCTTTCTATTCCCTTCATTTTTTTCTCAATAAAATGAAACAGTAGTACTTTCCAAGCCTTTTCATCATTGACTCACACGATTCTCTTTTGCAATACTTAGAGCCCACCTCAAAGCTCTTGAGACCTAAAGTCATTGAGCTCCTTCTTTGCTAAACCAGTGAAATCTGCTCTAAGTCTGGCCAGTTCTTTCTGGAAAACCCCTCTTGCCCTGCTCTTTCTGATTCCCATGAGGAGAGATTTATATCAGGTCCTCTTCACTGCTTAGTGCACACTCTCAATCACCATATAATTTATTTATCTCCTCTCTCTCTCTCTCTCTTTTTGCTATTCTGTCCTGAATACTGCCATGAAGTTAATTATCCCCAAACACTACTTTCATCATATAAAAACATTAGAAACCTCTATAGCTCTTTGTAACTCATAGTTCAAAGCCCACAACTTTAAAGAAAACCTCAACTTCTGTTACTTCCCTACATAAGCCTGGCAGCATAGAAACTAAAGAGGGGAAGGATCTTATAATCATGAGAAAGAAACTCTTAAGAGCAGGAGGCAAACCTCCAAAGGGCAAATTTAGGAGATCTTTTATTATCTCTCAGAGCTTCTTCCAAAAACTATGTGTTCATTCTTCCAACTGACATATATACAAAGTAGGTTTTTGTTTCTTTTTAAAGATATGCTTAATCATCAGGAAAAATTCACAAAACTTGTATAAAACTTGTCCTTCAGTAAAACACATTTCCGATTCTCACTTTATGTTATTTAAGAAGCACAAAGAATGTATGTTTCTATTAAGATCAAATGAGCCAAATTAACTTTTCTCTTTGTGGCGATGTCCTCACATTTCTTTTCCTTTGTAGTTTAGTCTTGGCAGCAAGAAAACATCTGTAGAGTGATAAAATTTTGGCCCAACTACTCAAATCGTGATATGTAAACGACTTCAAATTTCACATAAAAGCACTTCATGTAATTGATTCAATTGTAAATATGGATGAAATTATAATGAATTTTCTCCTATAGTTTTTGGTCTATGGAATACAAATCTCTGTTGTTACTTACAGCTTTTTTTTTTAACATTTAGATACCTGGTTTTCTCAGAATCCACAGTGAGGACAAGGCATAGAAAGAAATGCCTATTTACTTGATTTTTGTGTTATCAAACCTTCTCCCTACTCGTCAGCAACACCTGCTTCTGACATTAGTAAAAATGGCTTATGTTCATAAAAGAAGTATGGTCCCTTAAGCTAGTTTCCATTACCTCTGCTGTGACATCCACTGAGAGCACTTTTCCTGAGCTCCAGACCATCAACGTCGCAGCCAGGATAAAATGTGCACTTGCCAATCTCCAGTCCAGCATCTAAGGGTCATACACATCAGGGTTAACATTGATTAGTCTGGCAAGATAGAAAACAAAAATGTCTATAAAGTTTGTTATAGGCAGGTAATAAACCAAATTATTCAGCTTCTATGTGTTGGAGTGCACCTCTGCAAAACTTATATAATACTTAATAGAAGCTGTCAATCTCCCAGAATGAATTCTATCAAGGATTCATTTCCATGGAAACCTAGACTGGGGTTGTACAGCTATAATCATAATTTAACTCTAACCCAAGTCTGAAAATCTAGTTTGTGAAACTTTATTCTTTGACTCTCTAATCCACAGATTACAACCTCATGTACCTAAGGGGAAATGCGTTAAATCGACTAGGTATGAGAGACTAAGGCCTGGTGGGATTTGTAGTGAGCAAGAGAGAATGTGCTGTGTCTAAAAGCAATTCAATTCAAAATTTCAGAAACACCACAGTTCCAATAGGAGACTATCTTTATGTCCTGTGATATGTAAAGATTTCTTGAGCAAGATTCAAAAGGTAGATATCATGGAAAAAATGAACGAATTACACTATATCAAAATTGAAAAATTCTACATGATAAATACAGTAAACAAATTATAATAAAAACCAAATTTAAAATGGAATATATTTTCAACAGATATAAAAAAGAAAGATTAGCATTTGGAACATTTAAATAACTGTGATAAATAAAATTTTAAAAACAGATTCACAATTAAGTAAAACTGGGCCAAAGTTTATAAGGAGACATATATCTGAAAGTTCACAGCTTCATTTTATATAGTAGTAAAAAAACGAATCAACTCAAGTACCCTACTCAAAAGGAAATGGATTGATCAAATGAGGTAAATTCATACTATGGACTTTATGCAAATAAATTAAATATGGGTGTTATCTACTGTTCAAAACAAATGACCTGAATGTTATGTGTAATTATATGCAAGGATTTAGAAAAACAGATTTGAGGGGACATTAGAAGTTCTAGAACAATACATATGCCATGCTACCATTTACCTAAATTGGAAATACGTAAAGCAATTTCATATATTTTGAAATCTATACATATAATTAAAATATAAACCAGTGGAACTTGATTCATGACTATGATTACTTCTGGGGAGGGTGGGGAGTATATGAGATTATGGAGAAAAACATAAGGGACTCAGTTTTTATCTCTCTCTGTATACATAGTAAAGCAAACATGTTAAAAGATTACATTTGTTAATTCTGTGTAGTAAGCACAAAGGTGTATCATTTATGAATTTTTACATTAAAAAAACTATAAATCCAATTAAAGCTTATCTACAACCGAGATCAAGCCTGCTGGATGCCAGTTTTGCCACTGGTTAAAGCAGAAGGCCTTACCCTGCTGGGAAAAGCTCACGGGCTGTGAGCTACCAACAGAACGGGCTTGACTTCACCACTTAGCACATGACATTGGGAAGTCCCCCAGGTCATCCTTCATGAATGAGAAGTTTCAGTAAACTTCTGTTGCCTTAAAAAAATCATTTGGAAACCTACAGGGAGCAAAAAGAAAGGGATCCTAGGATCGATCGGAA